TTATATATACATATATAAAGACCATTTCATATCACCTTAGCGATACGAACTAGTCTTCAGTAATGATAAAAATGTCTTTTATCTGTGGGAAACAACAGGTGACGGTCAACGATAGGCTGGCTCTCCGAGGCCCTTTGTTGCTGCCCTTCCTGGCCGGATTTACAGCCCTGAGCGAGCTGGACCTATCTCTGGACAAGTCGACAATCGGCGGGAACAACGGATCCCTGCTCTTCATCGACGACAAGATCCTCCATCAGTTCTTCTCCTGCCTCTCTTCCCATTTCAGGAACCTCCAGTCCCTCAGGATAAACTTCTGGCGCGTCACCCTGGAGGACAGCGAGAAGACCATGCGGCAGATCTCGAAGCACCTGAAGCTTTGCAACCTAAGCTTCCTCAAGGCGAACGGCCTGATCGTGATCGACAGCGCGAAGAAGGTGCAGATGGAGCACGCGTTCGTGCAGACGATCCTAACGAGCCTGCAATACCTGACCTGGCTGTGCCTGGACGGGGTGGAATTGTCCCCCACGCAGGGTTCGAGTATAGGAAAATGCGTGAGAGATAGATACCCCGGCACGACGTTGGAGATAAGCGCCAAAGACATCCACGTAAAGTCCGTTAAAGCGCTGGTGGCCGCCATAGAAGAGGGCGGCAGAGCCGAGGTCGTCTACACCGGAGGGTCCAATTGTAGGCTGAAGATCACGAAGGTCCAGAAGAACGGACGCGGGAAGAAGAAATGAGATTATGCCGAGGAAGCTTACGTGGACATGCTCGGGGAAGCTCCCATGTCGAAGTAAGTTTCCTTGAGCGAAGGGTACAATTGTTCCGTCGAAGAGACGCGAGTGGAGAACGCCTTCGGAGGGACCTGAAGAGACGTCCATTTTGGATGCGGCAAAATGGAACGCAGTTGTCTCTGGTTTACCTAATCGAAGACATCCCTGATGCGAGTTTCGGATGAAAGCTTTGGGAATGGGTCAGGGAACAACCTATCATTGCTATGGGTTGCTGGTAGGTCAGCTTCGAGGATGTTTTTGTAACTTGGGAGTTTGCCCTGGAGGGTCCAACTGCAAGCTGAAGATCACGAAAGTCCAGAAGAACGGACGCGGGAAGAAGAAATGAGATTATGTCGAGGAAGCTTACGTGGACATGCTCGAAATAAGTTTCCTTCAGCGAAAGGTACAATTGTTCCGTTGAAGAGATTGCGAGTGGAGAACGCCTTCGGAGGGACCCGAAGAGACGGCCATTTTGGATGCGGCAAAATGGAACGCAGTTATCTCCAATTGACTTAATCGAAGACGTCCCTGATGCAAGATTCAAGAATGGGTCAGGGAACAACCTAACAATGCCATGGATTGCTGATAGGTCAGCATCGAGGATGTTTTTGTAAATTACATCCAATTTGATGACGGTTGTAGGAAAAGGAAGTGCAGCCGCCCGAAAGATCCTGAGACAGGTTGAAGGGCGAAGGCGGCAATTATTTTGGAAAAGTCAAACTGAAGAAAGGAGCTGATACTTCTCACGAAGGTCTACGTACACAGTCTTGTCGATGTCGAGGTGAATTTCTTTCAACAATGAAGAAACAAGAGGATGATAAGAGGGACGCCCACTCTTGGTGCATCCAAATGGAATGCAGTTTTTTCTCATTGATTAGGATAATCACGTCCCTGATGGAAACTTCAAGAATGGATCAACTCCGTAATCGCACGTTAAAGTTTTAGATAATTTGGCGCATCGAGTTTGAAGAAAGATTTTACAAATATTTTCACTTTTTGGTATGTATATATCACTTTCATGCCGCCTTAAACCTGAGTTTACGGCGCTTCGCGTCGCTTCCTTTGTCTCTTTTAATGATCTCTTCAAAGCGAACGATGTCATTTTCGTTACCCGTTAAGACAGGAAGGTGTAAACGTACGCATTCGGCCAGACAATCCCGACAGGCTGATGGGTTTACGATCGAACGCCATTTTCTTCGAGACAATCCTAAAGGGCTTACGACGCCTAGCACTTTACTTGAACGACGAACAGTAATGACTTTCCGAGGTTTAGAAAACGGGATTTCTTCAAACGAGGAAAGTAATCCCGAAATTAATCGGCGGAAAGATGTAAAACAAGAGACGCCTCCTTCGAGTTCCCCAGCGACAGAAGATTAAGGTGAAGTGAAACCCCCGATCAGATCAGCCAATTCGAATAAGACACTTTTTTTTAAAGCTATCCGACCAAATTGTCTAAAACCTTGGCACATGACTCGCGAGCACCGAAGAATTATCCCGAAACTTTCAAAATTTCAATTTTCTACCAAAAATTTATCTGACAACCCAGACCGGAAACAAAATGGCGTCGAGCTCTCATATATCGATCACTATGTGCCGGGACAATTGTACAACAATTTAGGACACTAGTAATCGAGAAGCTCGCACTTGAACGGAATAAATGCAAAGAAAAGTGTCCTTTGCGTTTCTATCCTGAAACGAAGGTAAGATTTAGTTGGGATCTGAGATTACAGATGGCACTCTGCAGTCAATTAGGGCATCGAAAACCACGAATAAGGAGATTTCTGGAGTTTAACTTCGATTTCTTTGAAATCATTGTACGGAAACGAAATATATAGTACGTCATTCAATATAATACTCAATATAATTCGACACAGCTGTCGATATAAACACAAATGCCGGTAACTTAGGTACCTAGAAAAATCTCTTTTACCTACGTCGATGAAATTTCTCAACGGGTTTCCCTTCACCTTAATGGGATTTTCCGAAAAGCCCGACATTGTCCAACGTCCCGAGGAAAGTAAACGAAACAATTGTTAACGAAAATCCTATGTCGCCCCGAAAACGCGCAATTTTATCAGCAAGACATTTAAAACACTGATAAACGAGACCGATGACTGGATGCGATTGCAATCTGCCAATTCCGTAGACTAGATCTCGAGGAAAATAATAGATAGCCATAGACAAGGCCGAAGGGACGGGAATATTAAATTTAAATTCTCATTTAATAACACAATTACAACGGCAATTAATTGGAATTGTCCAATCCCTAATTTTGTTTCGAGAAAATTAGACCAACATTAAGTTGAGCGACATTGAAGAGGCTGTTGCAACTAAAAGTACGTACATTGTTGTTAGATGGATTGTAAGATACGATTACAGAGTAATATATATATATATATATGAATACATGCGAGATATATAAATAAATGAAAGAGGTATATATATATATGAGAGTAAAGGAGATAGTACCGAGGAGGGGAGGAGTTTATCGGTGGTGTTGTTGGAGTTTGGAAATTTTAAGGCACATTTTAAAGGCACAGGAAAACGGCTAACTATAATTCTATGATATATCATTAACGAAGGGTCATTTGTATAAAGTAATGCGGGACTAATTGTATATTGAAATAACGACTGCCAAGCGACGTTCGGCAAACGAAACTGCCGTAAATCTCGTCCATCGATGCCGCGAGTTTTTTCTTATTTTTTTCTCCTTTTTTGCTATCAAGTTTCTAAACATTCGTATAGTTATTCAAAGAGCATCGGATAAAGTGGACGTGCTCGTTCGTCCAAAAGGAAGTAGGTGATCCTATGGGAGTTCTACGCACACTATAGAGTATCTTCTAAAACAAGGTCGACGTAAACGGAGACCGCAGGACGAAAAGCGTCCACAGAAGTGGGCGTTTCACCTTTTCGTTTCCCCGTTAGAACGACTTTTAGTTCTGCGATTAATTTCGATCCACCGAAGGACGTGAAAATCCTAATTAAGTGACTTTAAATCTCGCCCTCCACCCCGAAATGCTTCCAACATGATACAGAGGGCAGCACCGTCGCCGGAAGTGCAAAGCACACCGATCACTACATTAAGGTGGCATGAAAGTGGCACATCAAAGAGGTCTCGTTTATGAGACTTTTCTCCGAACTAAGTTCCCCAAATCGTTTCAAACTTAATAACGTGAATATGGAGGCCACAAGAAAGGTCCTGACACCCGTAAGACACGAATTTCTAAAAGATTTCTTTATAAATATTTTCAAAATTGTAAAAATAATGAAATCTCACGAGTGTTAGGACCCTCCTTAAGGCCTCCACGTATACATTGTGAGGTTAGGAACGACTCGGTACCCTCGTTTCCGAGTTTCACGAACGAATGACTTCTGAGATACCACTTTCGCATCCCCTTAATTAATCCTAAGGCACTATAAACATTGTACTTTTTATTTCGATCGCCTTTCCTCGAGGGGTTATTTCGGCTCTGTACGCTATACAGCTCTTCGTAAGATTTAAGGCCACTGCTACGATATTAATCAAATTGCGCAATCTCGAACACGAGTGTCTTCACCGCGGATTCGATGCCAGTAGCGTACAACGGGAAGGCATTAATGCCCGCCACTGTACCTACCCACTGCCCAGTGTACATCGGTGGACATAAGTGTTCCACGGATAAGGTAAAGATGTGACGTACGATCGAAAGGGGTCGATGTCCGCCATCTAACAGGGATTATTTCCCAAAATGGGAAAACCGTTTGCGAAGAAGATATCCCTCATCGAGAATCGTTAATTCCTCTGAAAATGCTTATTAAACCCGAGGACCGTAGTGGTACGTTCGATAGCGTGATATCTACCCTGTGTTTCATTTTATACCCCCTTAAGGCACAAGAAATCCGGATCTTATTTCGACCGATCTAACCTATCATCCGTTTTTTATAAGCGACGATATAACGAGTTTCGCCTTTGCGAGCACTCTAGGCTTAAGGAGTCTTCGACTATAAAACTGTTTGATGAATTTTTTCATTTTTGATAGGCTGTACATATTTAATGCGCATCCGATCGGGCCGAACTTCGGAGATGTCGCTGCAGGTCATAGTAGCTACACCTGCGACGAGCTTAACCTCGATGTACGACGAATTAATTACTCGTCGAAGCCTATACGCCGACGCCACGTGAGATTCCCAGATCGTTCGCCATATTTAGTACACACACACACACACACACACACATGCGATCGCGACACTAATCCGAAGCGCGGAGTCGAGCTGGGCGATTTTATTATAAAATATTTATGTATTTATATGTGTACACATATCCTCCAAATAAATGTAATGCGTATTTAAAATCGAACCTACCTTCACTTCACTGAGAGGTAAAAAATAAAAAAATAAAATAAAAAGGAATTATTTTAAGGGGATGTGAAAGCGGCATCCGAAATGTCAATCGTTCATCAAACTTTTACACGAACTGGGTATACGGAATTGTTTCAAAATTTTATAACGTGAATACGAAAGCCCTAACGTAGGTCCTTAAACTCGTGAAATTTCATTTTTTATACAAAAATTACGAATCTATGAATACATGTTTTTTTTTAATTGAAATTTCATGGGCGTCAGGACCTTCCTCGTAGCTCACATATTAACATTGTAAAGTTTGATAGGATTCAGTACACGCAGTTCGAAGAGAAGTTTGGAAAGCAGTTCGCATCGCGAAAAAAATGCACAAACATCCTTTAACATATTTTAACGTCTTCTACCAGCAAGTGCAGCAAGCTCGATTTCGATTAACAGCCCATGATGATTTTACCAAAAATGGCTGCTTCCAGGTGATCCACCTAAACCTGCAAAGGAGCAGAAAAGTACAGGTAAAACAGAACATTGAAGAAACACCAGGAAGTCGCCAGATTCTCCGAAGTGACCCACCTAAAACTGAAAGGGAACACGAAGGCACAAACGAAACCATTGGAAAGCGAGAAAGAGACGGTGATACAAGAGCTATAACTTACTAATGTTACCATTAAAGCCAAGAATATTTCGCAGTGCATCGATCTCGTATAATTGACCCAGTAAAAATGTATTCAATTATACATTACTTGGCGTGACAAAAATCTAATATATTTATCTTACTTAAATGCAGACTCGAGAAAATCTCATGAAAATGATAGTTCACCGTCTCTCCCCGTCAAACCAGACAGAAGGATATACAAAAAATGAGAGGGACAACGTGGCGAAAAAAAATGGATGACTGTCCATTCGAAAGAATGGAAGGCCATCGTAGTTGCCCTCTTCTTAAGGGGCCGCTTCGGCATATAGCCTCTTCGACTCTTGCAGTCTCTTCGGGCAGAGCCCCCTACGTCTCGAACGCTTGGCAATCCCCTGA